ACGAGTCATCGGCTGATTAGCCCCGTGTGTGTCAGCAGACATTGCATTGTTACCCGGCGAATAAATCACCACAGGTGAAGGTGGTCTCGGTGGTCTCTGTTGGGAACGATATTAGAACACTACTACAAAGTCTTCACTTGTTTAACAGTGTGAAAGCTTCGGTAGATGGGCATGTGGTTAACTATTTAATTATTATTATCCATCAAGAACCCTTTACAGGAAACACACATCACTTTTCTGACGAGCAAAACATCACCAGTAACAGTGATGATATGGTGGTTGAGGATGTACCAGTGAAAATTGCTCTTATTTTCCTTTTTTCAGTCTGTCAGTGTGCTGGCTGACAAAGGACCCCAATGGACATAAGTCACTCTTGGGTTATCGTAGGTTCTCTACACATGCTGCTATGTATGATAATCTGTGTAACTGTATTGGTGTATACCTGAAAAAACTTACTTATCACGTCATGTTTATCAACACAGTAATGGCTAGATGACAAGAGAACACTAGGATCACCAGTGTTGTCCCGGTCCCGGTTTTTTCCAGATGGTAACTCGGCGAGAGAACAGGTAAATAGTTATAAAGGTAATTAAAATAAGGTAGTTACGGAATCAAATAGATCTGATAAAAAAAAGTCTGTTAAAGCCATCTGTTGGTTCCATAACATAAAACAATCTGTTAACCCACTTGTTAGTTACATAGCACAAAACAGTCTGTTAATCCACCTGTTGGTTACATAAAACAGTCTGTTAACCTACCTGTTGGTTATATAAAACAGTCTGTTAACCTACCTGTTGGTTACATAACATAAAATAGTGTTAACCCACCTGTTGGTCACAAAGGAGTCTGTTAACCCACCGGTTGGTTACATAAAATAAAAGTCTGTTAACCTACCTGTTGGTTACATACAACAGTTGGTTAACCCATCTGTTGGTTACATAACATAAAACAGTCTCTTAACTCGTCTAAATAACAAAAAAAGGCACAATACCGTGACTGGAACAATACACAAATAACCCGCATATAGAAGAGAGGAGCTTACGACGACGTTTCGGTCCGACTTGGACCATTTACAAAGTCACACTAACGAAAAGGAGAGCAGGATGGGTATATATATGCAGGAGGTGGTAGTAGTAGTAATAGTGGTAGTAGTGGAGGGAAGGAAGTAGTAGTGTGGAGGTAGTAAGGGTAGGAGGGGCCAGTCAAATACTAAGAGAGAGGAGCGCTACAAGGGAGCTGATGCCCACAGAGGGTAAGAGCAAGAACACCGAGGGAGGGGAACAAATAAATAAATAAAGAAGGAACAAATACACAGGGCAGAAGAAAGACAACCCAAAGGAGAAAAGGGAAAGAGGAAAGGGGAAGAGGGAGAAGAAGAAAAAATGAGGAATCAGGTTAAGTCACGAGTGTTCTGAAGTTTGGAACATTTTACAATGTAGTGGGAGAGGAAGGCATCTACAGAGACGAAGCCACGACTAAGATTCATACAAGGAAAGTTGTGTATTAGGGAGGATTCAACCATACGGCGACTGTTAAAGTTGGAAGTAGGGAAGACAGTTTCAGCAGAAGACCAGTCAATAGGATGACTATGATCTCTGACGTGACAGAACAGAGCATTGTTAGTGCCGGCAAGCCTAATGCTATTTTTGTGCTCCCGAAGTCTGTCAGAAAGAGATCGACCAGTTTCTCCACCCAAGTATTGAAGAGGACAGGAGGAGCAAGAAATAGAGTAGACACCTGGAACATCTGTAGAGGGAGGAGAGGCATGAACAAGATTATTGCGAAGAGTGTTAGTCTGGCGGAAAGTAAGTTTGATGTCTACGGAACGAAGACAGTTGTTGAGATTAGAAAGACCGGAAATGTAGGGGACGCAGAGGACAGAAGAGTTCCCAGGAGTAGAGAGTTTGGGAGAGAAGAAACTACATTCAGCACGTGAGAAGGCAGAGTCAATGAAAATGGGAAGGGTGGCCAAGACGGAAAAATGAATTATGAAGAGTGCGGGTTATTTGTCTTAACTCACCTGTTGGTTACATAAAACAGTCTGTTAACCCACCTGTTGGTTACATGAAACACTGTTTAACCCACCTGCTGGTTACATAAGTGTTAACCCACCTGTTGACTACATAAAAGAGTCAGTTACCCGCCTGTTGGTTACATAAAATAGTCTGTTAACCCACCTGTTGGTTACATAAAACAGTCTGTTAATCCACTTATTGGTTACATAAAACAGTCTGTTAACAAACCTGTTGGTTACAAAAGTCTGTTAACAAACCTGTTGGTTACAAAAGTCTGTTAACCCACCTGTTGGTTACATAAAACAGTCTGTTAACCCACCTGTTGGTTATATAAAACAGTCTGTTAACCCACCTGTTGGTTACATAAAACAGTCTGTTAACCCACCTGTTGGTTATATAAAACAGTCTGTTAACCCACCTGTTGGTTACATAAAACAGTCTGTTAACCCACCTGTTGGTTACATAAAACAGTCTGTTAACCCACCTGTTGGTTATATAGTTTGAAATGTATTAAGAGAAAATAAATTCGTTGCCATATTGTGTTTCAAAAATCTCATAGTTATTTCTTCTTACTGGTGAAGGGTTCTTGATGCAAGGAACCGGAGGTGCCCTCCAATTTCTAGAACCGAACTTGATTTCCGTCCATTACCCAGCCGCTTTATAATCCTTATGGGTTTAGGGTCTCCCCCTTGAATATAATAATAATAATAATAATAACATTAATTATAATTATCAAGAGATATATTGTCTGTTCTGAGCTTGGTAAGTTTAGATTTAAAATATAACATTCTTAGTAAACTACTGGAGAACTACAAGCAGACGTTATATTGTACACTGAACCTACTTAAACACTGCTGTACAACCCACAGCAGCTACGAGGTTACAACCCACAGCAGCTACGAGGTTACAACCCACAGCAGCTACGAGGTTACAACCCACAGCAGCTACGAGGTTACAACCCACAGCAGCTACGAGGTTACAACCCACAGAAGCTACGAGGTTACAACCCACAGCAGCTACGAGGTTACAACCCACAGTAGATACGAGGTTACAACTCACAGCAGCTACGAGGTTACAAGCCACAGTAGCTACGAGGTTACAACCCACAGCAGCTACGAGGTTACAAGCCACAGCAGCTACGAGGTTACAACCCACAGCAGCTACGAGGCTACAACCCACAGCAGCTACGAGGTTACAACCCACAGCAGCTACGAGGTTACAACCCACAACAGCTACGAGGTTACAACCCACAGCAGCTACGAGGTTACAACCCACAGCAGCTACGAGGTTACAACCCACAGCAGCTACGAGGTTACAACCCACAGCAGCTACGAGGTTACAACCCACAGCAGCTACGAGGTTACAACCCACAGCAGCTACGAGGTTACAACCCACAGCAGCTACGAGGTTACAAGCCACAGTAGCTACGAGGTTACAACCCACAGCAGCTACGAGGTTACAAGCCACAGTAGCTACGAGGTTACAACCCACAGCAGCTACGAGGTTACAAGCCACAGCAGCTATGAGGTTACAAGCCACAGTAGCTACGAGGTTACAACTCACAGCAGCTACGAGGTTACAAGCTACAGCAGCTACGAGGTTACAAGCCACAGTAGCTACGAGGTTACAACCCACAGTAGCTACGAGGTTACAACTCACAGCAGCTACGAGGATACAAGCCACAGCAGCTACGAGGTTACAACCCACATTAGCTACGAGGTTACAACTCACAGCAGCTACGAGGTTACAAGCCACAGCAGCTACGAGGTTACAACCCACAGTAGCTACGAGGTTACAGCTCACAGCAGTTACGAGGTTACAAGCCACAGCAGCTACGAGGTTACAACCCATAGTAGCTACGAGGTTACAACCCACAGCAGCTACGAGGTTACAAGCTACAGCAGCTACGAGGTTACAAGCCACAGTAGCTACGAGGTTACAACCCACAGTAGCTACGAGGTTACAACTCACAGCAGCTACGAGGATACAAGCCACAGCAGCTACGAGGTTACAACCCACATTAGCTACGAGGTTACAACTCACAGCAGCTACGAGGTTACAAGCCACAGCAGCTACGAGGTTACAACCCACAGTAGCTACGAGGTTACAACTCACAGCAGCTACGAGGTTACAAGCCACAGCAGCTACGAGGTTACAACCCACAGCAGCTACAAGGTTACAACCCACAGTAGCTACGAGGTTACAACTCACAGCAGCTACGAGGATACAAGCCACAGCAGCTACGAGGTTACAACCCACATTAGCTACGAGATTACAACTCACAGCAGCTACGAGGTTACAAGCCACAGCAGCTACGAGGTTACAACCCACAGTAGCTACGAGGTTACAACTCACAGCAGTTACGAGGTTACAAGCCACAGCAGCTACGAGGTTTACAACCCACAGTAGCTACGAGGTTACAACTCACAGCAGCTACGAGGTTACAAGCCACAGCAGCTACGAGGTTACAACCCACAGCAGCTACGAGGTTACAACCCACAGTAGCTACGAGGTTACAACTCACAGCAGCTACGAGGATACAAGCCACAGCAGCTACGAGGTTACAACCCACATTAGCTACGAGATTACAACTCACAGCAGCTACGAGGTTACAAGCCACAGCAGCTACGAGGTTACAACCCACAGTAGCTACGAGGTTACAACTCACAGCAGTTACGAGGTTACAAGCCACAGCAGCTACGAGGTTACAACCCACAGTAGCTACGAGGTTACAACTCACAGCAGCTACGAGGTTACAAGCCACAGCAGCTACGAGGTTACAACCCACAGTAGCTACGAGGTTACAAGCCACAGCAGCTACGAGGTTACAACCCACAGCAGCTACAAGGTTACAAGCCACAGCAGCTACGAGGTTACAAGCCACAGCAGCTACAAGGTTACAAGCCACAGCAGCTACGAGGTTACAAGCCACAGCAGCTACAAGGTTACAAGCCACAGCAGCTACAAGGTTACAAGCCACAGCAGCTACGAGGTTACAAGCCACGTAGTGCCTCACTGTCTTATTACCTCAGTGTAACTTAAACTACACATTTTCCATGGCACCAGTATTCGCTAGATATGTTTCGACATTCTTGATTGTCATGAAGCATTTATAAATACGACCAAAATTATGTTTTATGAATACCATTTTAAACTTAATTGAGATCTACACATATTTTCTCCTCCCTCTTATATTCCTTTTATAACCTAGTGATGCTACTCTAGAAATAATTTGTTGAATAATATTTTTTTTTAACTTTATTTACACAGATCACATTGTTGCAATCACGACACGAGGATACTTACTCAAACGTAAATAAATGACTATTGAATTGAAGTGTTGCAATGATTCTCAATCTCTGCATGGTCAACAATATGATATTGTAGTTATTTTTTTCATATGCTCTGCAAACATCACCTTCCGTTACACTACATTTATTTAAAGATTAAGAGTTACACAAACACTTTGTAAGGTGTTATGATGTTGGTTGATTTACTAACAATGTTCTCTCACCTCACGTTGTTACCTACGTAGACACCTGCATCAATATATATTTTGTATTGGCTTGAGACAGCTCCTGAAGAGCGAAACGTTGCCACATTAAATTTTCTCATTAGTTGCACATGTGTCTTTTTACCTAAATTCATCGGGTCAGCCCTGAACTTGAATTTAATGGACAAATTCGCTGTAACAGTTACACGAGGATTTTAATAATGGACGGGTAAGTGGAAGTTACTAATTATTCAAGTGAGTCATATTAACTGCATAATAAAGTCTTATTTCCCATTTATCACACGAATAAGTATATCAGCTCATGAAATTCAGAGGCCCCGTTGTGCAATAATCCTAAGTGAATGTAACTGCTGAAACAAATCTATGCTAAATTATTACAAAATAAACTGTTATCCAAAGTCATAATATACTCATTACAGAAGACGTCATTATACATACAATCACTGATCAGGATAAACGCTTATAGGTAGATGTGAATAAACAGTGTTAAAAATCAACCATAAAAAAATAATTTATTCCCTCAGAAGAGCAGAGAAGACAGGCAGTGGATGAGCTGAATAAGGTAGGGTCGTTGAGGGAGGAGTCGGCACCGGTGGTTATAAGTGGCAAGAACTGGTAAATTGAACAGAAAATCAATAGTCTTTATTGTGGGATGCCTGGTGAGAAGGGCAGGTGGGAGGAGTGAAGACTGAAGTGGTGAAACTAGAAATATATAAAAGGGGGAAAAAAAATAATTTAAAAATTAAATGGGGATGGGAGGGAGAGGGAGCAAGATAAAGTATTTCGATGCATCAGCCACCGGACGGATCTAATATTAAACATGGCCAACGTAGGACGGCAGACACAAGTTAGCTTCACAGAGCTCACAGTGTGAGGAACAAGATCTGTACAACAGTCGGACGGAAGTGGTCCTGAGAATTACATTTGACGACACTACTAAAACCAACTGAGTATATAGGCTGGTTGTAGACGTCTTCTTAGTGGCAGAGAACTGCAGGAGGTAGAACAAAAATTCTGCAAGCTCTGCGGATGTCAGTTTCACAGAATTAACAGCCCGTAGGAGGGAGTCAAGCAGGAGGCAGTGGACAGCACGTACTGGTGATTGATAGAAGGCTAGAGAGGATTTTTATACGGTCACACAGCCTTGGGCGAGGAGGTAAGGAGTTGGCAGCGATCAGGCTTGGCGTGGGCGGTAAAGAGAGCTTCAAAGATGAGGCTGAGGCAGAAGAGGAGAGGTGAGAGAATCAGTGGAACCCAGTAGTACCACGCCCATCCAGTCGTCCACAACAACCTGCACACAAGCACACCATGTTAATGCAAGTTTCGCCCATTTCGTGAAATATAGGTATATCATTATTTTTATGGGAAGCACTTAACCCGTAGAGATTGTTCAGAGCCTTGGGAATGGGAGACAATTGTATTCGATCCAGGAGAAGGTGCAATTTCTTCGATCAATCGTCCCTCACCGGCATCAAGGAGTCTTCCTTGAGGGGCTAAGGATCAGAAATTTTTCAAAAACGAAGTGAAAACTTTTACCAGTCAGGAAACATAAAATAGAGGAAAGAAAAAATCAATAAAAGTATTTTTTTGTGTTAAAAGAATTATATAATAGATTACCAATTTGACAAAATATACCAATACATATCTTTGGGTTTAGTATAACAGGGAACATTACGATATATTTTTGGCATAACTTTCAGGTCTGAAAGGCTGGGATATTAGAGAAAGCACTTGTTTGTGAATGATTTATAATAGAAAGATAAAGTTCTATAACGGTGAGAAAGCGTAAAGGCCCTAACGAGGGCCTTTACGCTTTCTCAAAAGAATATTCTCGAAAGAATATTAGTGGGTTAGTGTCAGAGGAAATCATTACTTTAATACGGGTAAGTTGGTGAGTAAAACACCTGTAACGATGCCTTTAACTGTTGTACCCTTCTTCTGGTTTCAGTCTCTAACTGCCCTCCTGATACCTCCACTTCAGACTGATCAATGTTAAGAGACTGAATACATATCAAGACTGAGAAACTGATTACCTCATCTTCCACTGCCTACAGTACATAATCGCTGTATTCAAAGTTTATTCTCTATAAGGATTACAATGCTGAGTTTACAGAATTTGGTTATTGTGTGGTTTATATGTAGTAAAATAATAATTACAGAGTGTACCACTAGAACACCTAGCATGGCTAGGCATTTCGGGCAGACCTAGATTAGATCTTAAATTTAAAATATTACAAATTATGAGGTAAGTTGGTATTATGGCTAAGTGACTAAATACTAGTTTGTGAGTTTAGCAATGTGAATGCTTTTGTTTTGGCACAATACATAGTTTCAGTATTGGAGTATCACAGGCCAACTTATGACTAGTTAGGATTCATTATTTTAAGATTGAGATTGATATTTCTGTTTATTGTCAAATGGGTGAGTGAGTGTAAGTGTGAACCACCAGATGGTATTCGTGTAATTAGTTGACAGGGTGTATCAGGGAGATAAGATGTTTTCTAATGGTAGTTTTGAAGGTGATGAATGTGTCTGCAGTTCTAGAGTTTTCAGGTAGGGTGTTCCAGATTTTAGGGCCTTTGACATACATTGAATTTTTGTAAAGGTTTAGTCGGACACGGGGAATGTCATAGAAATGTTTTTGTCTGGTGTTATGCCTGTGGGTTCTGTCACAACTATCAAGAAAGCGTTTTAGGTCAAGGTTAATATTGGAATTTAAGGTCCTGTAGATGTAGATTGCACAGTAGTAAATGTGGATGTACTGAACAGGGAGTAAGTTTAGATCTATGAAGAGTGGGGGGGTGTGTTGCCAGGGATGGGATTTAGTGATTATTCTTACTGCAGCTTTTTGTTGGGTTATTATTGGCTTTAGGTGTGTTGCTGCAGTTGAATCCCAAGCATGGAATTAAAAAAGCCGTTATGTTATTATGATTTCGTGAGTCAATAAAAGACCACTTGGCGAAACATCTTCAGAATAAAGATATTCAAATTTTACATATGTTCTTACTCGTCAGATGATATATTTAGAGAGATAATGAAAATGAGTAATGGAAGGCCACACAAGTGACATGAGTCCAACATATGAAAAAAAAAAATGCGTGCTCTCATTTCTAATTCACAAGAATGTGAACAAATCGATGGATGGCCTCCGAATGAGGAGGGCAATACCCACCAGAGGGCCAGCAGAATCATCTGCTCCAGTAGGGTGAGAACGTGGTAGAGGAGGCCCTGGATCCTGGCCGCCACTCCGCCCACATCAACAAAGGTAAACAGGAAGACGAGTCCCATAACAGCGCTGTAGAGGACATCGTCGAGCCAGTGACAGAGGCCCTCCTGGCGGTCGTGGAAGAAGAAAGCCCGGGTGCAGGTAGTCCTCGGGAAGAACAACAGCTAGAGAAACAGAAAAAAAATATTTTAACTGCAAGTCTAATTGGTTGGTTAATGGGGTTTAAAGCACAAGGGTCATTAAGGCTGCATATCACCTGCGCACCAAACTGAATGGTTATAACTATGATCATAATTTTGAAAGGGGTGGATCAGTAAGCCAGAGGAAGGTCTTGGTCAAATGACTAAAACCTCCAATGGCGGGTCATCTTTTAAGACCCGCGTCAGGAGATACTTGTCCTATTTCCTGACGAACCTTACCTAACCACCAGCCAAGAACACTTTAATCCTGAAAATAGGGATTAAAGTAAATTCTGAGTATATACACTGATATACACCTTCAGGTGTATATAAATCTTTGCACGGAGGGTTGATAGTAGTTCTTGGTAATGCTCATTATATGGAGAGTTAGTTATAGTTTCTGGCAATACTTTCAAATACGAATAACCAAACATATTTGATAAGAGTTGCAACAGATGTATTGTTATTATTAATAATACAGTCATATGAGCAATTCTAAGTCTGGAGAAAAGGGTGGTAAGCAGACTGAACAGGTCGAATTCCATAGATCAAGAGCCCCTTAAATGTACATTTTGGTACTAAACATAGTAAGTGATACAAACGAGTGGTTTAAAAACACTAGGATATATATTAGAAAACACTTCGGTCTTGGGACCTTGATCACTTCGGTCTCAGGACCGAAACGTTTTTTAATACATACGTCCTAATGTTTGCTCGCGCGACTCTTTAAATCACTATAGTAGATAATCCCAACCTATAGTGGACACCCCTACCACCACAGTGGACACCCCTACCACCACAGTGGACACCCCTACCACCACAGTGGACATCCCTACCACCACAGTGGACATCCCTACCACCACAGTTGACACCCCTACCACCACAGTGGACACCCCTACCACCACAGTAGACACCCCTACTACCACAGTGGAAACCCCTACCACCACAATGGACACCCCTACCACCACAGTGGACACCCCTACTACCACAGTGGACCCCTACTACCACAGTGGACACCCCTACCACCACAGTGGACACCCCTACCACCACAGTGGACACCCCTACCATCACAGTGGACACCCCTACCACCACAGTGGGCACCCTACCACCTCAATGGATACCCCTACTACCACAGTGGACACCCTACCACCTCAGTGGACACCCCTACCAACTAAAGTGGAACTTTAGAAAGCGTGTAAGGCAGTTTCAAAAGCGAAGCTGAACAAAATGTGGAATATAATTGAAGGTATGATGATTTTGACGAGTCTCGAGACAGACACTCATAATTGGTGATTTAAAATAAAATTAAATGAGCTTGAGTTTCCCAGATCTGTAGGAAGCTCAAAACTTGATTATAATCTACGAATGTTTTGCGATGCCTCGTCCTTAGAGTACGGAATCATAGTTTATTTAGAGTAAGACACGCTCAGTCGAGCCTAGTCAGCAGCCTAGCAAAACTTGTGCCCTTCAAGTAGTCTTCTATACCAAAGCTGGAGTTGACTGCGTTATTATTGGGGATCAAAGTTGGGGATACATGTAAAAAAGGGGAAATATGTAAAAAAAAAAAAGGTACACAGGTTATACATTTGTTTTCGTAATCTTCAACCATCCCGCTGCATTATGTCAAAATAATAATATTTGTGTTTAACATATCATTAAAATTTTATTCAGGCAAAACTGATGTAAACATTAGATATGTTGCTGAACATGTAATATGAACAATAACACGAAACATTAACAATAACATGTAATATGAACAATAACACGAAACATTAACAATAACATGTAACATGAACAATAACACGAAACATTAACAATAACATGTAACATGAACAATAATACGAAACATTAACAATAACATGTAACATGAACAATAATACAAAACATTAACAATAACATGTAACATGAACAATAACACGAAACATTAACAATAACATGTAACATGAACAATAATACGAAACATTAACAATAACATTTAACATGAACAATAATACGAAACATTAACAATAACATGTAACATGAACAATAATACGAAACATTAACAATAACATGTAACATGAACAATAACACGAAACATTAACAATAACATGTAACATGAACAATAATACAAAACATTAACAATAACATGTAACATGAACAATAACACGAAACATTAACAATAACATGTAACATGAACAATAATACGAAACATTAACAATAACATGTAACATGAACAATAATACGAAACATTAACAATAACATGTAACATGAACAATAATACAAAACATTAACAATAACATGTAACATGAACAATACTCCCATGTTTTTCCCTGCACCAGAGAATTACATTAAAATGTGAAATTACTGATTGTTTCAGGAGTCATCAGACCAGATCGTGGAGAAGATCGTGGAGAAGATCGTGGAGAAGATCGTGGAGAAGATCGTGGAGAAGAGATCGTGGAGAAGAGATCGTGGAGAAGAGATCGTCAAACAGACAAACTGATGAAAAGTCACTTTGGCTGAACAAAAAACTTATTGAGAAAAAGTTTCTCTGGCAGCACATGGGAGTACGAAGGGAAAATGAATTTGGGAATTAACACGGAGGTTATCTGCTGAGAAGGATTATCTACTTTTGCCTTGATAAAGGAGTCTTAAGAAAAACATTCACCAATACACAAGTTGCTCTAGGAAAAGGGGGGGAGGAATGTGGTTTTGGTATTCTCTTGGCTACATACAAACTTTGCATGTGTATGCAATGTGAGAGCAGGGAAGCAGTCCTTTAAATTCATTTTCAATAATTATTCAAGCCCGCTTACTGCTGAAATCTTTTCGTGGGTCAAGGATTTGTAAGCTTATTTAAGTACAGGTCCACATAAGTACAATTATCATACATAGTAACATGTGTAAAGTAAATTACTTTGGATAATCCAAAAGAAAGTCAGTGATTTATTTCCTTTGGGGTCACATAATTTTTTTTCATAGACATACAAAACTTTTGTCTCCAAGCTTGGTTTGAAAGAGAAACTTTGTCTGAGTAAAGGTTTCTATTCTCTTATAGTGGCTTTTTATAAGCCAGATCTTAATAGATTCAGAAAGTCTATCAGTGACTGTGCTTGACTGGCTGGACCTGACCTGCTGTGTAACCAGCCAGACTGGTGACCTACCTGAGCGAGGACCCATGTGGACATGAGGAGCCAGTGGAGAGTGACGATGATGAAGAAGACAACCTCCAGCTTGGAGGCAAACAACGAGAAACTCATCACCTGTAAAACCAGTCAGTGATTAATAGTTTATCTTCCATGCGCCATAAAATAAAATCCTCATGTCACTGATTTTTTAATCTGCATGTGTTTGTTTCCCATACATATTTCAGAACATAGGATGCGCTGCTATCGGTCTAGTTACGAGTGTAGTGTTACTGTGAGAATGATGTAAATAGTTTATATTAAAACCTTAACTGACTATGCTACGCCCATGTTAATATTAAGTAGGAAAAATTCTCTTCGGCCCTTGGAGCTAATGCAGAATAAAGCCCTCAGAATTATTCTTGGCTGTCCTAAAACTACCAGAGTTCTTAATGTGAGGAAGGAGCTTGGGGCTCCTAGTATCGGTGATAAGATTACTGAAATTAACACTACTTAGAATGTTAAGAAATCAACCAGATACTGTCACTACAAATCTTATTAAATTTCTAGAAATAAACATAGATATAAAGGGGTTGCGAAAACATGTAATTAAGTTTTATAACCTGCATAAACTACATCACTGTAGGCACCTAGAGCATATCATCCCTCCATGGAAAATGTGTTCATTTAATATCACATACCTGCAAGTCCCTCCCAAGAAGCTCATTGCAAGTCATCCTTTCCTTAAATCACTTGCGAAGACAACTGCTCAAGAAGAATTTTCTCGCTGAACTGTTAGTAATAATATTTCACAATTTATATACACTGATGAATCTTAGCATGAATCTACTGGCAGGGCTTCATCTGCTCTTGTTGCAACCTCCATAGATAAGAACGATAAGGAACTATGCTGAGTTAGACATAAGAATTAACAACTAGGCGTCTACACTGCAAACTGAATTCTTTGTCATCCTAATGGCGCTAAAGTTAACTTATGACCCTGAGCTTGACTATGCTTATTAATGATTCTATGTTATCACTGAAGGCTCTTGACTCACACAGTGACTAACAACATGTGATGAATGGTTTTGAAAACCGACAAGTTGAAGAATTGAAACACTTATGCAACGTATGAGAATCTTTATTGAAGAAACGTTTCGCCACACTGTGGCTTCATCAGTCCAATACAAAGTAGAAATCAGTAAGGAGAGGAGTTTGAGGTAATCAGTCCCTCAGCCTGGAATCGATGTGTTCAGTCTATCACTCTTGTAGGAAGTACAGCATATGGCCAGAGAGGTGGTTTATATACTAGTGTAAGTAGGTCGTCGTCCAAAGGTTGGACAAGCGTTGAAGTCTTTGTACCTAGATCCCATGATGTTGCAGTGTCTGACATGTGATGAATGGACGACGACCTACTTACACTAGTGGCAGGGCTCACGAAATCGTAATGACACGATTGCAAACAAACCATACCACGGGCGGGATTGAACCCGCGGTCAGAGAGTCTCAAAACTCCAGACCGTCGCGTTAGCCACTGGTGGCAGGTCCCACTGTGATCCCGCCTCCTGCTTCGACTCACCTGACAGCACTTCCTATACTGTACTTCCTACAAGAGTGATGGACTGAACACATCGATTACAGGCTGAGGGACTGATTACCTCAAACTCCTCCTCTCCTTACCGATTTCTACTTTGTATTGGACTGATGAAGCCACTGTGTGGCGAAACATTTCTTCAATAAAGATTCCCATATGTTGCATAAGTGTCTCAATTCTTCCATGGCCTAGTCGCCCATGGGAGGCAGGCCTACTCATGTTCTACAACGTCCTCTCAAGCTTCCGAAATAATTACATTTGATGACATTATTACCAGTTAACTCCACGCATCAATAATTACTAAATCAGCGTCTTGCTATATCCTTCCTAAATATAACTTTTTTTTTTTACCTCAACGGCCTTCTCCCACCAAGGCAGGTTGGGTCTAAAAATGAAAACACATTCACCGTCATTCACTCAGCCAGAGGTGTGCTCATTTCACAGTCAGTTTACTCCTCGATTGTTACATCTCTTTAGAGTGCAGGCACTCAAGTTCTGTTAACCGGTTTCCCTGAATCCTTTCATAAATGTTACCTAGCTCACACTCAAGCCCCTAAAATTCAAAGCCTCATGTACCCACACCTCCCTCCAGCCATCCCTGGTACAACCATTCCTCCTCCTCCTCCCATCTTCCATCCAAGATTGATGCACTCTCTTCGTCAACCCATCCCTCTCTGCCCTCTTAACATGCCCAAAGAACTTCAACAACCCTTCGTCAGCATTCTGAATGACACCCTTTCAATTTCTATTATTATTATTATTATTATTATTATTATTATTATTATTATACTTGGGGGACGTAATAAACCATAGGGATCAGATAACTTGGGAAATGGGAAGCAATCAGGGTTGATCCAAGGAAGCCTGACCTGTCTGGCAGCCTGACCTGCCTGGCAGTTTGACCTGCCTGTCAGCCTGACCTGCCTTGCAGCCTAACCTGCCTTTCAGCCTGACCTTCCTGACAGCCTGACCTTCCTCTCAGCCTGACCTGCCTGGCACCCTAACCTGCCTTTCAGCCTGACCTTCCTGACAGCCTGACCTACCTCTTAGCCTGACCTCCCTCTTAGCCTGATCTGCATGGCAACCTGACCTGCCTGGTAGCCTGACCTGCCTCTCAGCCTAACCTCCCTCTTAACCTGACTTGCCTGGCAGCCTGACCTCCCTCTTAGCCTGAACTGTCTGACAGCCTGACCTGGGCGGCGATGGAACAGAAGTGGGAGAGGGTGATGAGGAGAAGATCAAGGATGCTGAGGTTTCCCAGGGAGGGTTCCGTCATGCGGGAAGCCCTGACGAAGGAAGCCACCGACCATGCCAGCGTCAGCAGAGACATTGTCACCGACAGCATCTGCATCACCACTGTTGAATGGGAAGAAATCATGATTTACTCAACATTATAAAAAAGATCTTTCCCAGACAGTAATGCTACGAAAACATATCTGTGGTTGTAAATGGTACAGTGATACCGACAAGCTGTGGATAGCTCAGAACATTTATTAATCAATAAGTGTCCTGGACTATACACGTATCCTTATCCACACAATATACAGCTACTTTTTAAATGTAAAAAAATGAGAAACTCCTTTTATTCAAGCAAGTGGTATTGTAAACAAGATTATTTTTGTTTTACAATGAATGACCATTTTATTATGTATACACGGACATCAGGTCGTTAATGCAAATATCCACTCAGGTAATCACGTGGTAGTACCTTAATACCTAACAGCATGCAAACATGGTCAAGGGGGTTCAGTAGTTGTTCAGAGCAGACACCAGAATGGGGACGAAATGTGATCTAAGTGACACTGACCATGGAATGAGTGTTAGTGCCAGACAGATGGGGTGGCTTGAGTATCTCAGAAACTGCTGAGCTTATGGGATTTTCGTGCACAGCAGTCTTTAGAGTCTACAGAGAATGGTGTGAAAAATACAAAACGTCTCTGAATACACAACACGTCGAACCTTGAAGTGGATGGGTTACAGCAGCAGAAGACCACACCGGGTTTCACTCTTTTGTTACCTAAGAATAGGAAACCGAGGCTACATTGGACACAAGCTCACCAAAACTGGATAGATGAAAATGGAAAACGACGCCTGGTCTGATGAATCGCGATTTCTGTTGCGACATGTTTATGGTAGGATCACAATTTGGCGTAAATATCTGACATGTGGTGGAACGGGAGAGCGGAATGTGCGGCCGAAAATCTGCAACAACTGCGTAATGCCTCCATGTCAATGTAGATCAGAATCTCTAAAGGATATCCAGCACCTTGTTGAATCCATGCCACGAAGAATTCAGGCTGTTCTGGGGGCAAATAGGGACCCTATCTGGTACAAGAAGGGCGTACCTAATAAAGTGGCCACTAAGTGTATATAATAAATATATATGTTGCACAAATTAAAAACCAATTTTCTTAAGAGTAATAATTAAGGAATATATATGATTTACAACACTAGAACCGTGGAGCTAGTTATGGGTTGAACACAAAGAGCTGTAAAAGGATGTAATTATTAGTTTAATATGTCTTCGTTAGGTGGACATGAAGTCATTAATTGCCTATTCTTTAGTGGCTCATAGAGGGTTGGTTTTAAGAGGTATTATTGCAAAGAGGAGTTGAGGTTTGAATGGGGCATTAGTGGCGGTGGTAGGGCACGGTCTGTGTTTTTCTTGTTTATTTTGTCTGGCCAGTATAGCGTATGAACGGTTAGGGAGGCGAAGTTTGATAATTTAGAAAGGGGATATTGAATTTTATGCCTAACTTGGGGGCTATAGTGGTTTATATTAATTGTCAGGTATATGGCTGCTCCTCCTACGTTGAATTTAATAAGAGAGATCAGTTGGATGATCAACGTGGTAAGATAGAGGAAGATAATTATGCTTACAATTGGTGATTTATCCTCATTTAGAGCAGCATAGACTTTGTATACTTCGCATAAGTATTCTCTTAAGTCAGTCTGGATTGTCTGCAAATTCCTTATTTTCTCGTTCTTCAGGAAGGTTAGGGGAGTATTTTGTGTTACTCATACATAGTGGTCCATTTAACGTAATATTTATTAAAGGTGTATTGGTTTTGTCAGATTTCTATAATAAGGTGACAGTTTTCAGTAGTCTTAACAATTGAGTACTAGTAACTGAGTACTATCAGTATCATGTCTTAGTAACGAATACTATCAGACAGTTTAGTATTGAGTACTAAAGTATCAGTCTTAGTAACTGAGTACTATCAGTATCATTCTTAGTATTGAGTACTATCAGTATCAGTCTTAGTAACTGAATACTATCAGAATCAGTCTTAGTAATTGAGTACTAACAGTATCAGTCTTAGTAACTGAGCACTATCAGTATCAGTCTTAGTAACTGAGCACTATCAGTATCAGTCTTAGTAACTGAGTACTATCAGTATCAGTCTTAGTAACTGAGTACTATCAGTATCAGTCTTAGTAACTGAATACTTCAGTATCAGTCTTAGTAATTGAGTACTAACAGTATCAGTCTTAGTAACTGAGCACTATCAGTATCAGTCTTAGTAACTGAGCACTATCAGTATCAGTCTTAGTAACTGAGTACTATCAGTATCAGTCTTAGTAACTGAGTACTATCAGTATCAGTCTTAGTAACTGAATACTATCAGTATCAGTCTTAGTAATTGAGTACTAACAGTATCAGTCTTAGTAACTGAGCACTATCAGTATCAGTCTTAGTAACTGAGTACTATCAGTATCAGTCTTAGTAACTGAGTACTATCAGTATCAGTCTTAGTAACTGAATATTACGTATCAGTCTTAGTAATTGAGTATAACAGTATCAGTCTTAGTAACTGAGCACTATCAGTATCAGTCTTAGTAACTGAGTACTGCATATCAGTTAACAATGATACTATCAATATCAGTTTAGAATGAGTACAAATCAGTATCAGTCTTAGTAACTGAGTACTATCAGTATCAGTCTTAGTAACTGAGCACTATCAGTATCAGTCTTAGTAACTGAGTACTGTCAATATCAGTCTAAGCAACTGAGTACTATCAATATCAGTCTTAGCAACTGAGTACTATCAATATCAGTCTTAACAACTGAGTACTATCAATATCAGTCTTAGCAACTGAGTACTATCAATATCAGTCTTAGCAACTGAGTACTATCAATATCAGTCTTAGCAACTGAGTACTATCAATATCAGTCTTAACAACTGAGTACTATCAATATCAGTCTTAGCAACTGAGTACTATCATATCAGTCTTAGCAACTGAGTACTATCAATATCAGTCTTAACAACTGAGTACTATCAATATCAGTCTTAGCAACTGAGTACTATCAATATAAATCTGCTTCCTGTGTGACTAATTCACCGTCATATTACAAACTTAATCACAACATATTCAACACATTCTTGAGTCCATTAGTCGCAGTTCACACCAAGTATATTACTCGTTTCACACCAAAACTTACAAAGAACAGCAATTTTTGACGAAAGGAAAATTATCCTTTCCATTTAGGTCAAAAAAATGGATTCTGGGCTCTTAGTGAGGCACTGACTCGAAGTCCAGTGGTAAGGCGATCCAGCGTTAGGAAAAGATAAGATGATAAATCAATAGAGAACTGAGAAAACCCACATGATAAAATCACAGTGTAAGATATTTTTTTTTCTTCTTTTCCGTGTACTACTGAAAAAGATCTCGGGCGGAAATCGAAATTCTGTTTCACTGATAAGTGTCTAGTACACTTCGATGAGTCGTCATAGTTTACTATCTTTAAGGACTTAATTAAGTGATACTGATACATCCCATTTTCCTAGAGTTCTCTCTCTCTCTCTCTCTCTCTCCTCTCTCTCTCTCTCTCTCTCTCTCTTCCGGTTCCTTTCTCCCAGTGTTTCCATTTCATTCATTCTTTTCTTCCCTGTTACATCGATCATGACAAAATCACGGAGACTGGAAGGAAACCAAAATGCACTTAAGATCTACACGGACATCGCAAAGACATTTAACAAATACGATCAGGGAGTGATAGCATATAATATGTGTACCACCATGTACTCACGTGTGTCACTGATGTGTCCCTGGAGTGCCTGGCTGGGGAGTGTGTGTGCCATGATGTACAGATGTAGGATGAGGAGGGGAGCGTCCTGCACCAGTGCCAGCAGCAGCTCGACGTTAGAGGCATCCCTCTCAGCGTGGATCCAGAGAGCCAGGTAGCCGCCTCGGGCACACACACCTCCTGTCCTCACTGAGCACGCTGCAACACAGGTGTTGTATTGTCAGAATTCTTACCTGTGTGTTGCTATTATTCACCGTCCTCCCTCACCCCTTTCAGTTCTCTCAGCTTTGGTGAAAAAGACAAAAACTGCAGAGGAACTTAATGAGATGTTCTTTCTGTGGACTGGCTTCTTCGGTCAGTGACTGTCTGAATAACACTGTCTACAGACTTACTGTCTCATTACCTTCCTTTCTGCATTTGTATTTTTGTTTCATTATGTGTGGGCTTTCAGCCATTTTTCTTCGTCTTTCATGATTATTCAACTTCTTACCTTCTCTCGTTCATATCTTACAACTTTGCTCTGCAGAGAATGACCATTAATTGTCAAACATAACACAAGTTTCTAGAAGGAGTTTTTAACTGGGAGACGTTTCGATCTATCACGATCTTTACCACGTCATACAGAGGGTAAAAACTGTACACATGTACACACTGCGTATGTTCATACACAAGAGTGACTGACGCATCTGTAGTTCTTTAGGAACCTTTGTGTTACGCAGTATGCTACAGTAAAATTTATATAAGAAATAACGCTCCATATGTCATTTTCCGGGTTTGTACTGAATCCGAACGCGTATTATTCCCGGGTAGTTAGAGTGGCCAGGAGACAGGAGCAAATGAGGTGTGGTGAGTGTCAGTCGGTGGAGCACAACACTTGTAACAAGTTGTCCTAATACATCACGGTGTGTTTAGTAGGGATGGTATTTTTTGTAAGTTTATACCATATATTATTTTATTGGTCTCATGTTTATTTGTAAGGCCGTAGTATGCAGAGGCCTGTTTATGCGAGAGTACTGTATGGTGTTTTGCCTGCTGGTAATTAGTCTACCAGACAAGTGAAGACGTGGGTGTGTATGTCATGGTGCCTCCCTGATGATTTATTGTGTTTATTAGTAGCAGTGTGCTAGTGAGCTAATGTGAACTGGAGTGTGGTGGGTGTTTTGGGAGTAGATTGTAAATTGTACGTAAGTTCCTATTATATTTTGTATAGGTGAGTTTTTGTGTCCATCCTTATACAACGTTAATTATTTGCACTACTGCTTAATTTGTATGAGTACATGATGACTCAAGGTTTGCTGTGTTTTCACAGTAATTTTATAACCCCTAGACAGCAGTGTGAGCAGCCTTTAGGATGTCAGGAACATTTTAAGTTATGACATGAAAGTTGTTAGAACTTTGTCACCTAAAGTATAATATACCAAACCATGGTTACATGGATATGACAGGCACAGTTATGGCAATAAGTCGCAACTAAAAATATATATATATATATATATATATATATATATATATATATATATATATATATATATTTTATATATATATATATATATATATATATATATATATATATGCAAGGAATTCGCAAGAGCAGGCGAAATATACACAAACAAGAATTTATATGAAGGAGACGCTTAGGAATGGCAATCTGGTTGGAGCAGCATTATTATTACAATTATTATTAAATGTACTTAGGGGGCTTTCTTCGGGCTGATGGAGATTATGGGGCTTCAGCTCCCCCTTGCTGCCTCTGCCCCCTGCCACTAATGCCATGAGATAACTCAATACCAGTAAAGACTTTTCAACTTCCTCCCTTAATATAGGAGAAATTAACAACCCTGTCATTAAGAAGGAAATTGATTCGTTTATGAAAGAAATTTGTGATTATCCGAAAAGGCGTTTTCCGACATATGTGAAATTTCAGCTGCAGTATGGATATAAATAACGGAATTGAAGTTACACTGCGGAGGAACATAAATAACTGTTTAAATCGTACTTTAAAGGGAGGAATTGAGCAAAATCGTAATAAAGAGGCCCACGTCAGAGTATACGCAGCAATTTCTAGCCACTTGACTGATGAAACCCTCGCTAGGTAATCATGAAGTCAATCTTGCCACATCGTGAGCACAAGAGAAAGTCAAACTTCGTCTGTGTCTTCCGTTCATAAATTAGACATACGTGCAACACTTGGGTATCTTTACTGAACAAAAACATTCCATTAATAAAGATACCCAAGTGTCGTACATGTGTCTAATTTATCAACTTGTCGATTCTGTGAACCATTTATCTACGTATCGTCCGTTACTGTTGCACAGGCTCCGATAGGGTATCGGAACCTACTGACCGGGAAGGACTGATCCCATATACGTATTTTGTATAAATGATTTAGAAAACCAACAAGTTGATAAATGAGACACTTGATAAATGAACATGTTTCATCAGCCAGTGGCTTCTTCAGTCCAGTAGAGAGAAGAACGGTGAAAGATGAGGAGTTTGAGTTCATCAGTCCCCCAGCCTGGAGTCAATGTGTATCAGATCCCAAATAATAAAGTCACTTTATGGTAGCTAGAAGCACTTACCAACAACCCTCATTCAGGAAAGAAATCTTATGGCGACTTTTCAGTCCCTCTTGAACTATTGTCCAATCAAAACTGTTCTGACAATGGCCCAGGAGGGACCGAAACGTCATCACTAAGGTTCCTCTTAGACGTTATACCTAGTACGTGTGCGTTGAACCTCTTCGTGAGTCATATCACACCATATAACTTCATTTCATTAAACACTTTATGCTGTTGGTAGTAATGCTAGAGGAATGGGGATGAGGTTCACTGATGCTGGTGAGGGGCTCTTGATCTAGGGAATAATTGGATTTATACTCCAGTTCCCTGAATTAAGCCTGAGTACCTCCCCCCCCCCACAGGCACTGTATAATCCCTACGGTTTTAGCGCTCACATGATAATAATAATAATAATGAGGACGAAGACCATCATCCCTGGATGGATGGAATACGAATGTTGACTGTGTTTCCTGGATGGATTTTACACGAACGATAGCTGTCTGCATCCTTGAAGTGACTGTCCTCTGACAGCATGACGACAATAGTGTAAGAAGATAATTAAACCTCAGTACTAGGATGAAAACGGTTGTGTACGGGGACATAACCGCTCCTTTGTAATAGAGTAAGTAATTCTGTAAGATAAAAAACGGTGTTCAGTAGGGAGGTAAGCTGCAAATTGGGTAGCAATGAATTTCTAACAGCTAACTTGTCTAACGGGCATAAACTAAGTTTTACCTATTAGCGTAAATTTTATAATTAAAAATAATAGTGTTAGGTAAAAGGACACAAGTACAACTAATGCGACATTTTATTGTGGCAACATTTCGCTCTCCAGGAGCTTTGTCAGTTACCTGGAGAGCGAAACGTTGCCACAATAAAATGTTGCATTAGTTACACTTGTGTCCTTTTATCTAACATATTGTTGGTAATTCTACCAACATTAATACAAAACTAATTGTGTTTATAAAAATAATTGTTCATAAAAAGCTACTTAAACAGTACGAAGGCGCCGTGGTTCAGGCGGAATTTCTGACGTGAAGTACCTGAAACTGGTCTCTTGCTGGTGGCTGCGGAGCTGCGACTGAGACGGGTAGAGGACCTCCTACTGGGGCTGTCTTTGTGTGTGTCACTGTGGTCCTGGGGAGTGGAGACCAGAGCTGCCTCCATCACCTCGTCCACTAGAGCCTCCTGCAGCGCCGTCTCCGCCGTACTCTTGGTCCCGTAGTAGATGATGTCAACTTGCCTGGAATCATGGTCAGTATCAACGCTTTTGTATCCTGTAGCATGAAAATTGTCCTTCAGGTTACAGCTACACTGAGTGTGTCTTACTGGTGTATCAGAGGAACTCTGTGAGACTTCAGCTGTAGGTAAAACACATAGGCAACAGTTAGGCAACTTTATTCCGAAACGTTTCACCTACACAGGAGGCTTTGGAATAAAGTTGCCTAAGTATTGCCTATGTGTCTTACCTACCAACCTATCGGTATTATATACCATTTTGATATTCACTTCAATTGTAATTTCAGCATATTACTAATGGACTCAAATTACTTTGTAGTAAATAACTGTCGATAAATAAACAGAAGAGTGGACGAGGTGGCTCACGGTCTGGGCAAAGATGATAACATAGGAAGTATATTCATATATTTATGTTGAGTAATTTGTTTATTTTTGGAAATTATTATTGGGTCGAATCTCAACAATCCTGAACCATTGTTAATGATTTGATCTCAGTGACATTTAATGTTAAATTTAGTAAAAAACGGATGAAAAAGACAAGTTACCTTGTTAATTTTTTAAATACATTACGAGTGGTCAAACTCAGTGCTTGATAAATATCACCTGTGACTTCCCCACTTTCAACAGAGTCCAGGTGTTGTTCGACTCATGATGAATATTAACTCATTTAATCCAGAAATAAACACAATCATGGAATTAACTACAGACAGTAATCAACATTTTAAACGAAATATTTTTTAGTCTGTTTCAGTTACCTAGACATATTTGCAAGATTTTTATTACATGACAAAATAAACAGGTTTTCTCGAGAATAAATTTGTCTTGTAATTAGTCTGTTTTTAATTTTTTTTATAGCTGTTTTAAAAGGATAATCAATAAACGTTAAGGGATACTGCAGTTTAATAGTAATCTTATCAGTTTTCATGTCTACTTCATCAATATATTCAAAATGGCAGAGATGCACTGCTCTCGGAACGCGAGTCATCTTCCATCAATATGGCTAGAAATATATAAAAAAAAAATTACAAAAATAACAAAAAAAAAAAAATAATAAAAAAAAACTTAATGTTTTGCTTCAATGGTGAATTTAATGGGTATCTAGGGGAAAAAAGCTATAGAAAGATTTATATGTCAGCCAAACACCAGAACGTAGTCAACATTCCTGAACCACTTGGTATTATTTGGTTGTATTTCCTTACGAATGTTTGTACCAAAGAATTCCATTTATAAGTTTACTCAAAATGAGTGTTAAGGATTGTCCATAGTCCAGTTTTGTTCAATCCTAATGATATTGACTCAACACGAATTTTTGCTATTTTTTAGGCCGATGGGGAGTTGTCATCAATTAATATAATTGGATTAATAAGCCCACCAGTGGGCGACACGTCTGCTAATGAAACTTTACAATAATCGTTGAGGTCATTGAGGACTTTTCTCAACAAAGCAATAATATCAAAACTAATTTTAAATAATTGTAAATGTGAGCACCTTGTAGCATGTTTTCAGATGATGTGTGATGAAACAATCAAATTTATTCGTTATATTTTAGTCAAGTCTGTTGGTTGTTGACTGTTTACAAGCTGTTATTAATAAGACATATGTGCAACATTGGTATCTTTTTTCTGCAACATTCCACCTGTGACTGTGTCTATTGCATCTGCTTGCTTGCGTTGTCTACCGTTTATAATAGGATGCAATCATTTATGTTTTTTGTTAGTATCTTCTGTCAGGATCAGTCAGCCTTCACCTGAGGACTGGTGCCTGGATCAGTCAGCCTTCACCTGAGGACTGGTGCCTGGATCAGTCAGCCTTCACCTGAGGACTGGTGCCTGGATCAGTCAGCCTTCACCTGAGGACTGGTGTCAGGATCAGTCAGCCTTCACCTGAGGACTGGTGCCTGGATCAGTCAGCCTTCACTTGAGGACTGGTGCCTGGATCAGTCAGCCTTCACCTGAGGATTGGTGCCAGGATCAGTCAGTCTTCACCTGAGGACTGGTGCCTGGATCAGTCAGCCTTCACCTGAGGACTGGTGCCTGGATCAGTCAGCCTTCACCTGAGGACTGGTGCCTGGATCAGTCAGCCTTCACCTGAGGACTGGTGCCTGGATCAGTCAGCCTTCACCTGAGACTGGTGCCTGGATCAGTCAGCCTTCACCTGAGGATTGGTACCAGGATCAGTCAGCCTTCACCTGAGGACTGGTGCCTGGATCAGTCAGCCTTCACCTGAGGATTGGTGCCAGGATCAGTCAGCCTTCACCTGAGGACTGGTGCCTGGATCAGTCAGCCTTCACCTGAGGACTGGTGCCTGGATCAGTCAGCCTTCATCTGAGGACTGGTGCCAGGATCAGTCAGTCTTCACCTGAGGACTGGTGCCAGGATCAGTCAGCCTTCACCTGAGGACTGGTGTCACGATCAGTCAGCCTTCACTTGAGGACTGGTGCCGGGATCAGTCAGCCTTCACCTGAGGAATGGTGCCACGATCAGTCAGCCTTCACCTGAGGACTGGTGTCAGGATCAGTCAGCCTTCACCTGAGGATTGGTGCCAGGATCAGTCAGTCTTCACCTGAGGACTGGTGCCTGGATCAGTCAGCCTTCACCTGAGGACTGGTGCCTGGATCAGTCAGCCTTCACCTGAGGACTGGTGCCTGGATCAGTCAGCCTTCACCTGAGGACTGGTGCCTGGATCAGTCAGCCTTCACCTGAGGACTGGTGCCTGGATCAGTCAGCCTTCACCTGAGGACTGGTGTCAGGATCAGTCAGCCTTCACCTGAGGACTGGTGCCTGGATCAGTCAGCCTCCACTTGAGGACTGGTGCCTGGATCAGTCAGCCTTCACCTGAGGATTGGTGCCAGGATCAGTCAGTCTTCACCTGAGGACTGGTGCCTGGATCAGTCAGCCTTCACCTGAGGATGGTGCCTGGATCAGTCAGCCTTCACCTGAGGACTGGTGCCTGGATCCCGTCAGCCTTCACCTGAGGACTGGTGCCTGGATCAGTCAGCCTTCACCTGAGGACTGGTGCCTGGATCAGTCAGCCTTCACCTGAGGACTGGTGCCTGGATCAGTCAGCCTTCACCTGAGGATTGGTACCAGGATCAGTCAGCCATTTACCTGAGGACTGGTGCCTGGATCAGTCCAGCCTTCACTGAGGATTGGTGCCAGGATCAGTCAGCCTTCACCTGAGGACTGGTGCCTGGATCAGTCAGCCTTCACCTGAGGACTGGTGCCTGGATCAGTCAGCCTTCATCTGAGGACTGGTGCCAGGATCAGTCAGTCTTCACCTGAGGACTGGTGCCACGATCAGTCAGCCTTCACCTGAGGACTGGTGTCACGATCAGTCAGCCTTCACCTGAGGACTGGTGCCGGGATCAGTCAGCCTTCACCTGAGGAATGGTGCCACGATCAGTCAGCCTTCACCTGAGGACTGGTGTCAGGATCAGTCAGCCTTCACCTGAGGACTGGTGCCACGATCAGTCAGCCTTCACCTGAGGACTGGTGTCAGGATCAGTCAGCCTTCACCTGAGGACTGGTGCCACGATCAGTCAGCCCTTTACCTGAGGACTGGTGTCAGGATCAGTCAGCCTTCACCTGAGGACTGGTGCCACGATCAGTCAGCCTTCACCTGAAGACTGGTGCCTGGATCAGTCAGCCTTCACCTGAGGACTGGTGCCGGGATCAGTCAGCCTTCACCTGAGGACTGGTGCCGGGATCAGTCAGCCTTCACCTGAGGACTGGTGCCAGGATCAGTCAGCCTTCACCTGAGGACTGGTGTCAGGATCAGTCAGCCTTCACCTGAGGACTGGTGCCAGGATCAGTCAGCCTTCATCTGAGGACTGGTGCCGGGATCAGTCAGCCTTCACCTGAGGACTGGTGCCAGGATCAGTCAGTCTTCATCTGAGGACTGGTGCCGGGATCAGTCAGCCTTCACCTGAGGACTGGTGCCAGGATCAGTCAGCCTTCATCTGAGGACTGGTGCCGGGATCAGTCAGCCTTCATCTGAGGACTGGTGCCGGGATCAGTCAGCCTTCACCTGAGGACTGGTGCCGGGATCAGTTAGCCTTCACTTGAGGACTGGTGTCAACTTCAGTCAGCCCTCACCTGAGGACTGGTGCCGGGATCAGTCAGCCTTCACCTGAGGACTGGTGTCAGGATCAGTCAGCCTTCACCTGAGGACTGGTGCCAGGATCAGTCAGCCTTCATCTGAGGACTGGTGCCGGGATCAGTCAGCCTTCACCTGAGGACTGGTGCCAGGATCAGTCAGCCTTCACCTGAGGACTGGTGCCGGGATCAGTCAGCCTTCACCTGAGGACTGGTGCCGGGATCAGTTAGCCTTCACCTGAGGACTGGTGTCAACTTCAGTCAGCCCTCACCTGAGGACTGGTGCCAGGATCAGTTTGCCTTCACCTGATGACTGGTGTCAACATCAGTCAGCCCTAACCTGAGAACTGGTGTCAACATCAGTCAGCCCTTACCTGAGGACTGGTGCCAGCATTAGTCAACCCTCACCTGAGGACTGGTGCCTGGAGGAGGAGATGGGCTGCCACACGGAAGGTCCACACGTAGTTGGGTACTCTGGGGTGTCGTGGGCTGTACTGGGGTTCACAAGAACGCTCGTCGAACCAGTACCAGTAGAGGCTGAACCCGTTGGCCACGACCATGGGCAGAACTGAGGATGAGACCGAAATTTTATGTTGCAAGAGAATAAATCAAGCATATTAAGCATATTTTGTATGTGGCGAGTCACCATATACTCGTGTGGTTTCCATCATTAAATGACATTAGCGTTATACTGTGATAGTTTGATGGCATGGAGTTCGGAGAAGTGTGTAGTTAGTACTTGAAGACATGGAGTTCGGACAAATAGGTTGTGAGACACATTTACGAATATGTCTTACAAATGCCATGTACATGTACAGTACTTCTGAGATTTTGTTGAATAAGTGATGAAAATGGATTACCAAAAATGTTTTTGTTTATATATATATATATATATATATATATATATATTATTTTATATATATATATATATTATATATATATATATATATATATATATTATTTTATATATATAATATATGTGTGTGTGTTTTATATATATATGTATATATATATATATATATATATATATAGATATATATATATTATATATATATTATATATATATATATATATAATATATATATATATATATATATGCAATAAGATCACAGTAAACAGGTGATTTCAGAATATGCAAAACAACCACTCTGAAAGAATAGAGAAATTCAAGCGCTTTCGTGACTACTCACATTTATTGATAATGTGAGTAGTCACGAAAGCGCTTGGAATTTCTCTATTCTTTCAGAGTGGTTGTTTTGCATATCTGAAATCACCTGTTTACTGTGATCTTATTGCATATATATATATATATATATATATATATATTATATATATATATATATATATATATATATATATATATATATATATATATATATATATATATATAATTAATTGTGATCTGAAAAGCCAAAAAGAAAAGGGAAGAGAAAGATAAACGAGAAGAGAAAGATGGAAAAGGAGGAGGCTGAAAAGGAAGAAAAAGAGGAGAGTGGTGAGAGAGTAGTAAGTGTAGATACTGACGCAGTAGCAGAAGGGCTGCAAGGAACCAGTTCTTGGAGGCTGGGTCGTCGCGCATGTAGTAAGCTACCAGGACGTCGGAGACCAAGTCGAAGTAGAAGGTAATGATGGAGATGATTCCCGTCAGAGCGTCGAGCCAACCAAACTCCAGCGTATCTTCTGGCTGTGTCAGGTAGTTGATCCCCTGCAAGAGGTCACGTCAAGTCAGCAATCTAAATAAATAATCTTGGTTAAATCCCCCAAAAATGTTCAGATTATCGTTGTCGTTTGTTCTTTGTCGATTATTATATGTATGTATTTATACTCAACCTGTTTGTGTGTGTGTGTGTGTGTGTGTGTGTGATGTGTGTGTGTGTGTGTGTGTGTGTGTGTGTGTGTGTGTGTGTGTGTGTGTGTGTGTGTATTAATAATGGAGATTTATGAGTTCAAAGTGAACTCCTCTGAACAGAATGTTTACCGGTGTTTTTGAGTCTCTGTTTATTTGATTTTTCTTACAGTTTTTCACAGAAGATCACCAAGTACTGCAGGTGATGCAGCGAATCTTAATATAGGATGTAAAATATATTCTGGAGTCACGATTAACTAGAAATCTGAAGCCAAGTTTACAATACCGACAAAATGATGAATTAAACATGTGTAAATATTGTAAAAGTATCTCATTCTTCATATTACAAGTTTGTAATAATTTGGTGTATTTGAAAATTTCGAAACCAAATAGTTGGCTTTTTTTTTTTTACTGTGGAGTTGTGTCCTCAAAATAGTAAATGATTCTTATTCATTTTAATTTATCTGTGATGATGAATAAGACCCGTGTACAATATCTGGGTATCCACTTTGTAGAAGTTTCGCCATCCAGTGGCTTCATCAGTACACATACAGGCTGAGGGACTGATTACCTCAAACTCCTTCTCATCTTCCACCATTCATCTCTGTACCGGACTGAGAAAACCACTTGTTGGCGAAACGTTTCCACTATAAAGATTCCCTATGTTGTAATTCTTCAACATGACAGTTTTGTAAACCATTTATATCATACCTCTAATAATGACCATCATTATCATCGACAAAATCGATGGGTAATTATCGAGTCCATTTTTTTCAACAGTTACACGAGCATTATCGTGTCTGCTAATGTAGCAAAGCTCATTAAACTGTCACGGACATTATTTTTCTACCTAGATTGTCTTCGTTAATTTAGGTAAGAGGTTGATGGTGTCACGCGAGCTGGGTGGGCGAGGGAGAGCTCTGACGAGGACAGTCATGTGTGGGTGGGAGAGGAAGTGTTTGTGAGAGAGAAAGTTGCGAGGGGCACTTCTAGCTTCTGTTACTGGAATTGCCAACAGTGTAACTTTACATTATCTATTTAAAAAAAAATTCTTCACTTATCTGTGTGTTTACATAAAGGCGAAGGGGAATACTAACACGCTAATTTGGCAAAAAGATCGTTGCAAAATAAGCTAAATCGACAATATATACTCATATATTGGGTTAATGTCTGTCGACCACACGAGGGTCATCAAGGGTTATGGGTGCATGTCACTTCTACTCCACCAATCAAGGACACATTAACTCCTTATAGACATGTAATGGTTATAATCATAACCATAATTTTTAAAGCGACATACAGCAAGCCTGTGGAAGGCCTCGTTCAGATAACCAAAAGTTCCAGTGGCAGGTCATCATATGACTAAAACTCGCGTCAGGAAACACTTGTCCTGTTTCCTGACAACCTTATTTAACCTAAGGATACATTAAACACTGAAATACGGATCAAAGCACACTCAGTAAGAGGTATACACCCCACAGCGTATATGTACTCAAGATATGTACTCTGAGTGACTCTGAATGTACACACCCTTGTGGGGAGGTATTAGGTCCCCCATCTCATGTTTCATCATAACTACCTAGAAGCGAGTAATTAGCTGATGTAGGACAGGCAGTAATTAGTGAGGCCTGACCTCATGCTGGATCATAATTACGCAAGCCTCCAATTATTCGCAGAAAAGTAACCCTCTCACTTTTTTTTCAATTTTACGACCCAATGTTCGTGCACTGGAGATCCCGGGTTTTCCCCCCACGTCAAAAAAACGCTGGCTGCTATCCATTTTCCACGTCCTTAATGTTTTCCCCAGACTTACTACACGAGATTACTGAACTGCACTTTATCTTGCTGTTGAAGCTTAGAGCTCTTTGGGTCAAGTTTATTACGTATGAAGGAAAAGACCGGCCCCTTCCGCCTGTGATCTGAGATACTGTTCCTTCCTTCCTTCACATTTTTCCATACTTCCTTCCTTCATGTTTCTCTGTTTTTGGGTCCACTCTTCCCCCGTTTTACTCTTTCCATGCTTTACGGTTTCCCATAATTCCTTGCTTCGCTGCCCTTGCTTCATTGATTTTTGCTTAATGACCTTGTTTCAGATTCCTTGCTTCATTTTTCTTTGCTTCACTCTTCCTTGCTTAAAACTGCTTCCTTTTCACTGCTTCCTGCTTCACTGTTTCCTTCTTCATTGCTTCCTTGTTCGCGTTTGCTTAAATACGCTTCCTTGTTCACTAAACCCTTGCTTCACTGTTCCCTTTTCTTCATTGTTCTTTGCTTCCTCACCCTTGCTTCACTGCTTCCTTGCTTCACGTTTCCCATGCTTCACTTTTTCCTTGTTTCTTTGTTCCTTGCTTCGCGATTGTGCAATACTGCTTCCTTGCTTCAGATTCCTTGCTTCACGCTTCCTTGTTCACTGCTTCCATGCTTTATGTTCCTTGCTTCTTTTGCTTCTTTGCTTCCTTGCTTCACTCTCCTTGCTTCAGCTTTCTTGCTTCACTGATTCCTTGCTTTTTTCTTCTTCCCCTGTTTCCTTGACCATGACCCTTTGTTTCATGCTTCCTTACTTAAACCGCTTCCTTGTTTCACTGCTTCCTTGCTCACTCTTCCTTGCTTCCTTTTTCCTTTTCCCATGCTCACTTTTTCCTTTCTTCATTGTTCCTTGCTTCACTGCTTCCTTGCTTCACTGTTCCATGCTTCATTGCCCCTTGCTTCACTTTTTCCTTTTCAGTAGTCCCGTTACCAAAACCCCAGTTACCATAGATGACTCACTACCAACCGTCTGTGGAATCATGACGTTATTCACGTTCCTTGACCATAGCATGTTTCTGAACCCCCGCTCCCCCATAGGCATGGGGTCAGTCTGAGATAGAGAGCAGAGAGAGCAGGCGCTATGGTGCTTCCCAACTTTCCGTTATAATTATACGTACAAAAACCAGCCTACGGGTTTTTTTACCCCCTTCCCGTTATCGAACCCACATGACACCTTGCTTCACTGCTTCCTGCTTCATGTTCCTTTTCCTTTTTCACCTGCTTCCTTTTCCTGCTTCCTTTTTCCCCACTGACCCCTTGCTTCATTGCTTCATCTTCCTTGCTTACTGCTTCCTTGCTTCACATTCCATGCTTCCTTGCTTCACTGCTTCCTTGTTTTCATTGCTCCTTGCTTCATGCTTCTTTGCTTCATGTTTTCCTTGTTTTCACTGTTTCACTGTTCCTTGCTTCCTGCTTCATTGCTTCCTTGCTTCACTGCTTCTTTTCACGCTTCCTTGCTTCCGCTTCCTTGCTTCCGTTTTCCTTTGCTTCAGGGTTTCCCATGTTTAAAAAGTTTCCTTGCTTCATGCTTCACTGCTTCGCTTCATGCTTCCTTCTTCACTTTTTCCCTTTGCTTCCTTGGTTCACTGCTTTCTTGCTTCACGCTTCCTTTTTTACTGTTTCCATGCTTCACTGCTTTCTTGTTAACTGTTCCTTTGCTTCACGCTTTCTTTGGCTCACGCTTTCTTGCTTCACTTTTTCCTTGTTCCTTGCTTCAGCTTCCTTGTCACTGCTTCCATGCTTACTTTTTTCCTTGCTTCCTTGCTTCATGCTTTCTTTTTTCACTGTTTCCCTGCTTCACTGCTTCCATGCTTCACGTTTCCTTGCTTTCCTTGCTTAAATTTTTTTCCCTTGCTTCACTGTTTCCTTTTTCACTGCCCCTTTGCTTCACTGTTTCCCATGTTTCCTGTTTCCTTGTTTCCTTCTTCACTGCTTCCTTTTTCACTGTTTTCCTTGCTTCACTGCTTCCGCTTCACTGTTTCCTTGCTTCCTTGCTTCACTGCTTCCTTGCTTCACTGCTTCCTTGCTTCACTGCTTCCATGCTTCACTGTTTCCTTGCTTCCTTGCTTCACTGCTTCCTTGCTTCACTGCTTCCTTGCTTCACTGCTTCCTTGCTTCACTGCTTCCATGCTTCACTGTTTCCTTGCTTCCTTGCTTCACTACTCCCTTTGTTCACTGTTTCCCTTTGCTTCAGTTTCCCTGTTTTCATGTTTCCTTGCTTCCTGCTTCACTACTTTTTTTTGCTTCACTGCTTCCCTTTGCTTCACTGCCCCCTTTTCCTGTTTCCTTCTTCCTTGCTTCACTATTCCTTGCTTCATGCTTCCTTGTTCCACTGATTCCTTGTTCTTTGTTTCACTGTTTCCCTTGCTTCACTGCTTCCTTGTTTACTGTTTCCATGCTTCCTTGTTCACTGCTTTTTTTGATTTTTTGTTTTCCTTGCTTCCTGTTTCTTTGCTTCATGTTTCCTTGCTTCACTCTTCCTTTTCCCCTTGCTCCTTGCTTTTGCTTCCTTGCTTCACTGCTTCCTTGTTCACTGCTTCCTTGCTTACTGTTTCCCCCTTGCTTCACTCCCCTTTCTTCACTGCTTCCATGTTTCACATTTCCTTGCTTATTGCTTCACTGTTTCCCTTGCTTCACTGCTTCCGGCTTCACGTTTCCTTGCTTCCGGGTTCACTGCTTTTTGCTTCACTGTTTCCCTTTGCTTTAATGCTTCCATGGCCTCCCTTTCTTGTTTCACTGCTTCCTTCTTCATGCTTCATTGCTTCACTGTTTTCCTTTTTTTACTTTTTCCTTGTTTCCTTGCTTCACGCTTCCTCCTTCACTGCTTCCTGCTTCACTGTTTCCTTGTTTCCTGTTTCACTTTTTCTTGTTTCACGTTCCATGCTTCACTGCTTCCTGCTTCACTTTTTTTCCTTGCTTCCTTGCTTCCGCTTCCTTGCTTCACTCTTCCTTGTTCCCTGCTTCCTTGCTTCACTGCTTCCATGTTTCACTGTTTCCTTGTTTCCCTTTGCTTCCTGCTTCCTTGTTTCCCTTCCTTTCCTTGCTTCACTGCTTCCATGCTTCACTGTTTCCT